AAAGTTTGCCATGCTGATACCTGCATCTGCTGGAGGTTCACAGTCATCACTGTGGGTTGAGCCACCTCACTGCAGTTGCAACTGCCACTGCTCCAGCGCCCTGAGACAGAGGCAGGGAGGGGCTGATGCACAGGCCTGTTCTGGCAAGCAGGCCATGCTGGCCACCAGAGCCCACATGGGCAGGTTGGCACACAGTAATCATATGCACCTGGGTGGCTGTTCCTGTGGTATTTTTTTTAATTTTCTGTATTCCAAGCCAAATTAGCCAAAACAAATTCCAAATTCGTGAGTCAGTCCAGAACCATAAGTGACCCTACTACCAGCAAACATCCTCCACCACTATCTGGGGCTTCAGATGTTCCCAAATCCTTTGGTGGGTATCCTACTTGCATTCCCAAGCCCGGAGGCTTGAGGTCCAGATATCCCTGAGTTTTCCTTACCCTCAGCTGTAAGGCCCCAGGGGCAAGCCAGGGAAGAGTCTCCCATTTCCATAAAGTGGGCATAAAGTCAAGACCTTCCCACTCCAGCAGCTAAGTGGGAGGTTTACTATACATTACATTGGCAGGTACTATCCCCGTGCAACTAGGAAGGCCACCTCTGTGGTCATGGTGTTTCTCTTGCTTGATCTGAGCCAACAAGAGGCCAAGAAGTGAGAAGCCAACAAAAGGCTGTTCCTGTGGGTTTTTTTTAATTTATTTTAAATTTGTATCTGAGGCCAAATTAGCTGCAACTAATTGCAAATCCAAGAGTCCAGAAACCATAAGTGGCCGTACTACCAGCAAACATCCTCCACCCACGCCTGGGGTTTCAGAGGCTAAGATCACATGTCTTGGCCTCTTGAAGGCTCAGCTCAAGCGTAGAGGCTTCTTAACCTGGCAAGGGAAATACCATTCATCTGTGTCCATGAAGGCAGTTTTCCTGAACTGTGCCTCAGGAGAACTGCTCTTCTGGTGTGGTTCAGTACGCACCAAGGTGTAGCAGCTTTAAGCCCAGTTTATGGAAATGGGAGCCTCCTCTCTTGCTTGCTCCAATGGCCTTATTGCTAAGGGCAAGCAAAACTCAGGGGCATCTGAACCCCAAGCTCCCAGGCTTGGGCTTGCAAGTAGGATGCCCGCCAAAGGTTTTGGAAACATCTGAGGCTGTTCCTGTGGTATACACTTGGCCCCAGCCATGAACTACATAAGATAGTCTCTCCTGCCACATGAAGCTCCATACCTTCCCCCCACTCTACTTCCCTATTAGATGGGATGTAACAGGAGTGCTAGATCCAAAAGGGCATGAACCCTTCCTACCCCATGCTCCCCTGGAGGGCCACACTGATCAGAGCCTGATCCCCATGAGCACAACATTATGGTCAAGGAAATCCCCGTGGCTCCATGGGGATTGGTCTGTGGAGGGCAGGAATAAAAGTTTGGCTTAAACTGTAGCCTCTGCAGAAGCCCTGTGGAGTGGCTTAGGCCTGGCCCCTCAGCCAAAGCTGCCTCAGCAGGGCACTTGCAGCCTAGCACATTGCTAACCAGTAGGGCCGTGCGAAATTTCACCACCAGTTTTATTTCGACCCGTTTCGAGGTCGAAACAGCAAAATCAAAACGGAACAGATGTAGTCGAAACAGCTTCAAAACAAAACGAGGCAAGTCGAAACATTTTGCCGTTTTGCCCATAAGCTACAATGGGGAAGGTTGAAACAGCCTATAACTTTGTCATTTCGGGCCTGATTTGGATGAAACTTGCAGGAGTGGTAGCCCCTTCTGAGGGCACGAAGCTTGCCAAGTTTCATGGAGATAGGTGCAGGGGGTTTGGAGAAACTGCACCCAAATTCTTGAAAGCAAAACTCATGTCACGTGTATCTTCTGTTAAGCCACAGCGGGGTCAAAACTGCAGGTATGGTAGCCCCTGCTCAGGCCACAAAGTCTCCCAAGTTTCAAGGAGATAGCTGCAGGGGTTTGGGAGAAACTGTACCTCAAGCTCCAGACAAGCATAACTCATGACATGGGTGACACTGTGTTAAGGCACAGCAGGGTGAAAGCTGCAGGCCTGCTAGCCCCTGCTGTAGCCACAAAGCCTACCAGCTGTCAAGGAGATAGGTGCAGGGGTTCTGGGGCCCTGCACTTCTAGCTGCTGACAGGCAAAACTTGTGTCATGGGTGCTTGTGCAACGGTGTCTGTCTTGGGGCACAGGGGGGTGGGGGT